CCCCAAAACCCCAAAACCCCAAAACCCCATGCCGATAAAGGATTAAATATCAAATTAAATTATTACTGTAAATTGAAAATTGTAAATGTAAGCAGATAATAACCTGAAGGAAAATCTCTTGGCTGGCTACCCTAATCACAAATAACAAGATGAGGATATCAAATAATAAAAGGACAAAAGCTACCTAGGATACATCTATTAACTATTTTTCATAATCTCACTGTGTCTGCAGCATCTCTTTTCAAAATTAATGTTTAACAGGCATGTAAACCTATCAGCTTTGCAAATATTAGTGATTAGAGCATGCTTTACAGCCATAATTTTTATTGTCGTAATGAACAGAAAAATCAAGCATGTAATGATCACATCAATACCAAGGCAAAGTTATTTTAATCTTACTGTTAGATGTATTTAAGGACTAATTGCATTTACACTCGTGTATTATGCTTTAAGATATCTGCCTTTAGTATTCGTGGCACTTGTAATGAACCTCTCGCCTATATTCATAGCAATATTATCTTACTTAGTTCTTAAAGAACAACTTATGAGGATAGATATAATTATCCTTGGAGTCTCGTTCATTGGTGTGATCATTCTAGTAAGTGGCTCTATTAATTCCGAGAATGTCTCATAGAGTAAAATTGAAGATACAAGCAATATCTTCGCATGGATAGCACTCTTTCTGATACCCTTCAGTGCAGCTATCAATGCAGTTAATTAAAGACAGATGAGAGATTTAAACGAATACACTGTTGGATCTTATATGACTTTGGTTAGTCTTTTAGGGTATACTCCTATCGTGCTTTTATTCGAAAATGGATTTGGAATAATCTATGACTTTGAAATGTATGATTGGGCTTTAGCCATCCTTCTCGGTATCACAGGGTTCTATTTTAACGTCTTTAGATTTAAGGCTCTGCAATACTAGGAGCCAGGTAAATTAGGAGGCATCAGTTATTTCTAATCTATTATACAATTGATTTTGGATGTAGTGTTTTTAGGTTAGAAATTTACCAGTTAATAACTGATCGGAATAATGGTCGTAATATGCGCTAATGGTGTAAAATTAGGGTTGTGGATAAAGAAATTATTGAAATGATTGATTATCTGATATTAATTTATTATTTATCATCATCTGCAAATAAAATAAGATGGGGTTTTGGGGTTTTGGGGTTTTGGGGTTTTGGGG